TTGATTGGATGTGTCAACACACCGGGTTAACTGTGACAAAACATCCTCCGTCATTAAGGACAACAAACCACCGAGGATGGCCTGATCCTGGACTATCCATTCTTCATGCTCTGGGCTAATGACTTTCTTGGGGTTCTGTCTCTTTTCCATCTGTGCTTGATCCCACAGTTGTCGTCTTTGCAGGAGGTGGTGTAGTCCCATCAAGATAACCATAGAGCTGGAAACCTCTAAGGATAGGTACAACCTGTGCCTTCCAAAGCAGGAAGTTTGTGCGGCTTAATTTGCAAGTTATGGCGGTGGCAATTTTAGAGGAATTGACAAAAGTAGGGGCCATGACAGACATGATCTGGGAAGATACAAGAAGCTGATAGGTGAAGAGAAGAAAGGAAGAAATAAAATTAGGGTGAAAAACAGAGCCCTTGGGAATCGGTGCTCTGATACCGAGTAGAAAAGGTAAATTGCCGATAAAATACCCTTAGGTATGTATTCATATATATATATATATATATATATATATATATATATATATATATATATATATATATATAAGTTATACAGTGATAAAGATAACTAAATATTTGAACTATTCTACCTTATCATTTACAACAGAAACATAATACTAAACTATCCATAATTATCTTATAATCGACTTCTGTTTACAACAAAAACATATTGCTGGAATTTATATTACCGTTATACGTTTATATTTTTAGGAGGGACATAAACTTAAATTGATGATGATACGAGTGATGGGGAGACAAGATATGCATACTATTTATCGTATCAAAAGTATGTGTGGGGTGATCCGCCTCCTGCTTCCAGTTCCTTTCCCAGTGCGGAAGCATTTTAGGAGACATGAGGTATCACCATCGAGTCTCTCTTCTTTAAGTGTATGACCCGATTCATGCACACTCACACCACCACGATAAAGAAATAACCCAGATTTAGAAATCGTGAGATTCGGATTTGCATATTCCAGAAAATGAATAAACAGCTACTATCTAGCATGAAGCAACCTATAGCGAGCTATGTGGATATGGACAATATCGGGGAAAATGTATATTTTTGGAACTAAAATTTTTAATTAATAAAAAATTGTACTGCAGGTTGACAATAGTGAACCAAAAAACAGTGAATTCAATTCATGAAATGTTAATATGCATCTAATTTGTATCACAACTGTTATCACATTAATTTAAGTTATAAAACACAGACCTTGAGCCGATACTCATCTTTCACATCTTGTTTAGCTCGGGCTCTAATTTCATCATGAACATTTTTTTTTATTGGGGAAAGGGTTTTATTTATTTTATTTTTATTTTTGTGGGTGGGTGGGGGATGGTATTTATGTGATGCTTTATTCATATCCCTAAATGTGTCGGCTGCATTATCCATTAGGGGCGGAACCTTTAAGGGCCAGGGGAGGCCATGGCCCCCCAGATTTATAGACTTAGAACCCCAGTTCCTCTATTTCTATGTCCAAAAATGAATTTCGTGGAAGAGGATAACCAGAACACTACTGGGAGGAAACAAACTTCCCGATAAAGGGTATGTTCGGCACGGAGCGTTTGAGAGCTTCTAGCTTCTAGCGTTTGACAAAAAGCTCCGCTTTGAACAAAAAGCCTTGTTTGGCACTACAAGCTTGTAGCGTTTAGTTTAAACAAAACGCTTCAAATCCAAATGCTACTTCATGTAGCGTTTAACAAAACGCTACAAGCTACAAACTACCCGCTACCCGCTACAAACTACCGGTAACAGCTAAATTTGCCGAACACGCCCAAAATACAATTCTATAAAATTTAGAAAGTAAATCAACAAAGATAATACTTTAAATCTTTAAATCGGAAGCTAACTGTATTATAATATGGAAAAAAAACAACAGATCCTAGCCATTTTCAAAATCTATTAAACTTCTATAAAAGCCCATTAAACACTAAGAAAACAAAGCTCAAAAAAATTAAGAAACCCTATTGCCAAAGGCCGTCTCCATTCAGCGCCTAGATTCCGTCCAGTCATCCATGTTCTCGTTTTGACGAGACCGACTCTCGCATCTCGTCGTTTTTGCTGTTTCCTCGTCTCTAGATCTTCTTGTATATACTCACAAGTTAGCCTCATATTCTCATCTCTTAATTTGTATACCTGTTTGAACTTTGATGGAGTATTCTTCGTATGTTTAAACAATGAGCTTTGTTGTTATGATTTAGATACTTTTTATGGAAATACAAAAGCTTTTTGGAAATATCAAAAGCTTTTATGCTTCATATGTCAGAGACTCATAGTGCCTAGGAAATAGAAAAGAGGGTTTAAGATTTGATGTCTTTAGATCATAGAAAACTTTGTTTATAAGAAATTATAGGTAATATTGATTTATCTTTAGTTGGATGATGATTTGTTTTTTAAATTTTAAATAACAAAGGCTGTGATAAAATATACTCCATGTTAGTACAAACACAAATATTGATAAATGTAGCTTCAATATAGAGGTTTTTTTTTTTAATCCAAATTAGTTACTTTTATATTTTTATTAGAGCAATATTTTTTTATTAATCATATATTTGTTTGAAGTTCTAATTTCGGCCCCTTGGATAAAATGTTTGTGTTCCGCCCCTGTTATCCATGACTCTGTTTTTCCATCCGTACTTCACACTGATGTACATATTTATCCTGGTGTACATACGACATACGACAGAGAGTTGGATCACTATTTTCCGGAAAATGAATTATAAGGGTAATATAGTTTTCATTTTACACACGTTTAATCATTATTTTTTTTCTTGTAAAATAAGTCATTTAACTTATTGTTTTGTAAGCATTTTGTCCTTATGACCGGTTATTCTAGTTGAAGTTCTCAATTTGTACACATTTAGTCGTTAATGTTATTTTTTGCAAAATAAGTCTTTGTTGTTGTGTATACATTCGATCTTTATGACCGATTTTCTTTAGGTTTTGCTCACGTGGCATCCTACATATGGCAATAATTAATGAGGTTCTCAGACATGGCTCTTTCGTTATATCAATAACTTAATTCATGAACCGATAAAGTTGTGCCTCGATTTTCTCCAAGAAGAAGATGTATCTAGCTTCTGTTCGTCTATCTCAATAGCAGACAATGAGATTCTTTGTGATTGTTTTCGCCCAACTCGAACCGGGACTTACAGGACATAATATGTTACAGACCACGAGACCATTTCAGCTAATCCAACCTTGGGAAGCCCAGTGGGGAAACATCGACCCAAGAGAACCACCAAAAGACCAACCCGTTTTCTGGATTGAACAAGTAGAAGGAGTCAAAGCATATTGCATGGTTTTAGGAGGAAGACTAGTTCTTTCTTTCTGAGTCAATAAGGGAGCTAGTGCTCCACCCAAGCATTCACGTTTTTCTGTTTTGCATGCATGTCCTATTTACTAGCTTAGTGGTAGTTAGTTTTCCTTTAAATTGTAACGTTAGAAGTTGGAATTAAACACAGAAAATTGCCCCAAAGTTGTCTCTCTTCTCAACCTCTGTTCTTGGAGCCTAACCCTCTCAAGGGGTTCTATCATAATAACACCTTGAAAAAAAGTTTAGAATCTTCCTGAATTCCTTGCTATGTCAATTTTGATCATTTTTCCGCAAATGGGTTTTTTATTCTTTCTAATTGATCGCGAATTTTGAAGATGAGTTCGCAACTATTAAAGAGGATGTTTCATGTCGTTGTGTGTGAATGTGGATACCATTTCCAACAAACTGTTATGAATGTGGATACCATTTCCAACAATTAAAATCATTATGACTAATATATTTTCTTCACGTTATGTAATGTAGTTTGTATTGCTATTGAATGGAATTTGTATTGATATTAAATATAGTTGATATTGTACTATCGTAGTTACTAATATCAATAGTACAACACTATTACCAAAATCAGGATAAGTAACGCATGATTCCGTTCAGATGTGCCACGTATAAGAACAACTCATTAATTATTGTCCCACGTATGATGTCACGTGAGCAAAATCTGAACTAAGGCATCATAAGGACTAAATATGTACAACTACAACAAGGACTTATTTTGCAATATATATATATATATATATATATATATATATATATATATATATATATATATATATATTTATTATTAATTATTTAAAAGTTTCTTAAAATCTCATTGGTTCATACATTCACACAATACTTGTTGAATGTATATGAACCTAACTCTATATATATATATATATATATATATATATATATATATATATATATATATATATATATATATATATATTAACGACAAAATTTGTACATACTGAGAACTTAACGCGGAGTAGTCGGTCATAACTATTGAATGTGTACAAAAACAATAAGTACAAAGGCTTATTTTACACCAAAAAAACAGTAAGGACTAAACTTGTACAAAATGAGAACTATATTACCCTTTTAGGTTATTTTCCTTATGGGAAATTACACTACTTTTGTATTTGTTTTCTTATTAAAAGAATAAAGGAATCTTGTTGAACAAAACGAATAACATCAACTCTTTTGTATTGATGACAAAGACCAAACATGTAATTAGGACTTTAAAGCTCAAAATGTGTCAAAAATCAAAATGTTGATTTTATGAGACCGAGACCGAGACTCTGATGTGGAAGAGAATATGGGTTGTCATACTTTATCCAAAAAGGCCGACATATTAAAGGTTTTAAGATCACAATGAAACAAGTCAAATTAATAATTGGACGAAACAAAAATGATGAGATGCATAAAATGTGTCGGTCACATAATAATGTACATCAATCTACAATTATGCATCTAATATACAAGTTTCAAGAACCAGCCAAAATGTAGCTATGATTAAATCAAGAAGTTTAAGCTTACCGTTGACAGTTGATTGAGTGACTTAAGGTCTCTTGTTGAACTAGAGTTTAAAATCCATTTGTAAATAAAAAATAAATTATTCAAATACCGAATTTTACTTGTTTTTTTTTTCCCACCAGAGACAGATAGTTAATATGCTTCGCAATTAAGCAGTCTCTATGCCTAACATATGAAGGCTTTCGACACACCGAGCAATCCCAAATATGAAAGAAGCAGCATGGAATTCCACTAGTATTGATTGCTCCCCCATCTTAGTAAGATAAAACTGGACCAACTTCTCCTTGTTCATCCAAGCAGTGAGCAACAAATCTCCATTGGTGGCCGGTTGCAAAACTCCCATAACTGATCCTCCTTTAAACTGATTTGCTTTCGATTTAAAAATCACAGACCAAGAATCATCTCTCCTCACCCATATCCAACTATCATCATTATTGCCTGAAATCACAGCTAGAGAACCTTGGAGGGTTGTTATTCCTCTTGCTGTCCAAAAGGGTTCAGGCAATGGAATCATGCCAAAAACATGAGTGCTCAAATTGAATGTCAGTATACAAGGAAGGTCACTGTCATGTGATTCCGTATGATAACTATCTACCACCCAATGCAACGCTCCATTCACAAAACATGACCCCAATAACACTTTAGAAATCAAAGGTGTAGGGGAGGTGATTGGACACCAAGTGCCTATCTTTATTGCATAAAAAAATGAACTTTCTCTGGAGTATGATATCTGGACAATCTTGTAATCATCACTGATTGGATCGAAACCGAACCCAAGCCCATCTCCAAGCCCTCTCCAAGGGACTGGTGTTCTCCGCGGACAAACAGGTAGGCTTAGTTTGCGCCTAATTGAAGGGTTCCATAGACTAATTCCCTTTTGATACTCACTCAAACAGAAAATTCCATCACATGAACCAATAATTATGAAAGTTTTGCTACAAGGAAACTGGACTGCTGTTATACCATTGTATCCTCCTATGGGACACAATGGCAATTGGTCTTCTAAATGTAATGTATAAAAGTCATCTGAAAATAGTGTACGAAAGTGTTCAAGGCCATATGCATCATAATAAAGTTGGTGTCTGAAGAGGAGTTTTTGTGTGGATCGAGAAGTATGCATGCGAATGAAACCAGGGCTACCAATACAAGAATACCATGATTTGGAGAGTGATCTAAACCGGAGGAGGGATTTGGGTGGTAGTCTTGTGAAGATTTCAATAATCAACTCTTCGGATAGATGATCTGACATTGCGTAATCCTGCAATATTCCAACGAGATGAAAACTAAGTACTAATAGGATGCAATCAAAACCATCTGTGTTGCTTTTCAAATATTTTTCAACAGGATCATGTTTCAGTCAAATCATAAATTTTCTTAAATAAAATCAAACTAACTTATGTTCTCATCGTAATATCATTTACATCATCCATAAAATGGAAAAGGTAATTGGTTGTGAATGAAAGCCTTGACAGCTAAATATTGGGCACTTGTATATTTAGTGAGTTGCTTATTTAGTTGAATATCCTTTGTATACAAATACTCAATATAAAAAAAGAATTGATCGTTGTTATCAACTAGAATATCTAATATACTTTCAAAAAGGTATATTATATTAATCATATCCATCATCGTATCAATTAAAAAGGCAACAAAATAAAAACGTAGGGGAATCGACGATTAAAATCACTCACCAGAGATAGGAAGGAGAGGAAGAGTAAACTGATGAAGACGATGGACGCTATGGAAATCTTGTTGTGATAGCACCAAAACATCGACAATCGTCCGAGTCGTTCTGGGGATTAATTTGGTTTCATTTGGGCCCAACGTTCCCCATGTTTCTTCCATGTTTTCTTTTTGTGAATAATGAAATTCCTTTTGTGATAGCATTTAAATGTACTCAGTTTTGAAGATTTTAATCATTTTATTCCTTTCAATAGAGAGGTTATCTTTCAATGGAGAGGTTAGAAGTTCAAGTTTTGATGGATATGTAGTAATTTAACAGGAGATTAGTTTCAATTTTCAAAAAAAAAAAAGTAAATATATGAAAATTATAATATTGTTTTAATAATACAATAAATAGTAAAAAACTAAATTTTTCATTAATTCAAAGTAAATAAAATATTGTATGTAACATCTCGATTTCTAGGTATTTACCTTTTAACCCCTTAGTATGAGAATTGTTTGCATATTGGACCTAAAATGTCATTTTTGTAAATATGGGACGTCCCCACATATGATGGGCGTAATCCCAAGTACGTTGAGTGTACGTGGTAGGATCCCAAACCTAATTTTTAGGGTTTGGACCTTATTTAAACATATTGAAGTCGCATGTCTCATCCCTTCTATCAGCTTCCAACCCCATTTTCGACCCCCTTTGCAAACCCTAATCTATTTGAGAACATTTTTTTAGCTTGGTGTGTGTGCTTTGGTGAACTTGGAGGAGAATTAAGAAGAGGATATCATTCTAGAAGTGTGGAGCGCCTTGGATCCAGAAACACATCATCTTTGGACACTCTTTGAAGGTAAAAAGCTATGAACTTGATGAAGCTATGCTTAAATCTAGTTTGGCCATGAATTTTGTGTTCTTTTGGTCCCATTAGTTTGGTATTTTGAGTATGGGGTACTCTAATCCTTCTAAGTTGTCCTTTCAAACGTTTTGGAGTGTTTAGAAGCATAAAATGTGGTTTTGATCATTGTTTCCTTTCCGTACATGAGTTTGGATGTCTTAATGGGTTAAGAGACTAGGGTTTTTGGTATATAACACTTAATATCCATGCAAGACCATAAAGTTTGAAACTTTATAGTTAGAATGTTAATTTAGGGCTAGATCTAGAATTTAGATGAAAGAACGTACTTAGCTGAGTTGACTCGACTAATTTTGTTGACTTTTGACTTTGAACAGGGTTTGACCAATTTTGACCTAAGGATATTTTGGGTATTTTGATTATAAGTTAAGTTTGTCTATGTTCCAATGAATAGGTGACCGATAAAGCTTATAATCGGAGCAGTGCCCTGTTCAACGATCTTTTCAGACTAAGAGGTGAGTTTTTCTCACTTTACTCGTGCGTCAAAGGTACCAATGCCGACCCACTAGATTGTGTATCATGGTATATAGGAAGTCGTTATGTTGTAGTAATCTGTTAAATTTATATCCTAGTATATATGATGATGTTATGCGGTAGTGATCTGTAGATTTGCATGTTTGTATGGTGACTGGTTATATAAATATATGTTGCTAGATATATGTTAATTGTTACGTATATTTCTACATCATATGGTGGGGTTGAGACTAAACTGCTTCATGCTGTCAGTCAACAGACCGGGGCATTACAACCGAAAAGGTTGTGGGTCGGGGGTAATCCAATAATGAGGTTCTGGACTAGTATGTATTAGCAATCCAACCGAAAGATTGTAGGCTGGGACATTCCAATCGAAAGGTTGTGGAGCGGGGGTAATCCAATCAAAAGGTTGTGGACCCGATATCTGTTTGGTTATATGTTAGTGTGGTGGTACTTTAGGGGAAATCACTAAGCTTTAGCTTACAATTTCAATTTATTGTTTCAGTTACTTCGGATGACTTTGGCAAGGCAAAGGCGTGATCGTGCGCACCCTTCAGATTTATGTTATTTGGATTTTAGGACACTCTGATTATTGATTAACACTTTTGAAACAATGGTTTTCCAAACAGTTATGGTTATTGGGATGTTTTTGAAAATTTTAAATTTAATCTGATTTTCTGGATGTTACAAGTTGGTAACAGAGCCTTGGTTTTAGAGAATTGGAGGAACATTCTTGTGAATCCAGTCTCAAACTAAGGAACTATAAAATGTTTTCAAAACAATTTTCAAAAATTGTTTTCCAAAGTAACCACGGATTGCTGTGATGTGTACTATCAACGGGGGCAAGAAAGTATACCCCAAGTTACCACATTGTTATTTTTTATGTTATGATAACACTACATGCTAGCAATAGGCTATGGATCTTCAGAAATTGCATGATAGTATTGTCTGATGCATGATGCCTGATATCCATGGAGGACTTCTTGTATGTTAGATGAAATTGACATCATTACTATTGTTGCTTAGTATGTGCATCATAGTTGTACTTTACTAAGATTCTATAGCCTGAGAATGTTTGATATAGCCTTATTTCATGTTCTTGTTTGATGAAGGGCTTAGGGTAGGGTCAAGTATTTGACTGTCTATATGATCCAACGTTATGTATGATTAGCATGCTGGAGTGGATACAAGGTTGGTGGAAGTTTCATGAGAGTGTACGTGTAGGTAGCATGCATGTTAAGGAATGATTAGCTGCTCTCGAGATAGCGAGGATATGATGTATGTATATCCTAGTTGTGAACTTATTATCAGGTAGTTTGTGATGGTACTTGGAACAAATACAGGTAGGTTTGGAATGTAGTATGTGCCCGTACTACTGGAAGCATAGGATGTTGGATTAGGTGTCTAAGCCCATAACTATAATTGGTATGTACTTGACTCGATAGTAGCATGGTCCTTTTAGGTTACCTTCACCATAGCAACTTGATAGAAGGATTTTTGGAGAAAGAGGTTGATAAATGGTTTATTAATATATTATATGAATAATATATTAATTGAGAGATCATATTAATTAATTAGTATTGATCAGAAATTAATTTAGAATTAATTTAGTGATTAAAAGAGACCGATTAAAAGAACGGGGATTGATTATGTAAATCAGTAATAGTTATAGTTTGGGCTAATGGATTCTATTGGTATAGGGTGGACGGAAATCTATGGGAAGCCCATAGAGTTTTCGTCCAAGGTTTACCATGTGGGGATCCATGTGTTGCTTAGGGCCTAAGCAAGGGAATTAGGGTTTCTAGTTGAAAACCCTACCAGCCTCAACTATAAAAGGAACCCCAGCCTCATGAAATCGATGACTGATTCCCTAGAAGAAACCCTAGACGATTTATGCCTCTCTCTCTTCTCCTTATTCTTTTCTTGTGGTGTTTGTGACTCCATTAGAGGTGCAATGCTTGAGGACTAAGCTCTTGAAGGTCAAGATCTACAATCAACATGAAAAGGTATTCTTCTAACTATGTTTAGTTATTAATTTCAAAAATTGTATGCTAGGTTAGGGTTTTTCTTTGGATAATTAATTTGCATGTTTAACTTGAGAAAACCTAGATCCAAAGCATTAGGGTTGCATATGCACCATAGGAATGTTGTAGTGCTCAATACACATCAGTGGTATCAGGGCTTAGGGTGTTTTTCTGTTATACTTGATGTTATTGTGAATTGTTCAAAGCCGGAAGAAATAGAATTTTGGACTCTGCCTGATGAACTCGACGAGTTCAAAGTGGAACTCGACGTGTTGGACCAACTCAACGAGTCCAAGCCCTGACTCGACGGGTTGACTCGTCTGTTGGCAGATTTTTCGGATTTCAGGCCTAAACTAGATAAGGATAATTACCATAACTTGTTTTAACCAATCAAAAATCATATTTTCTAATATGGTAATGAATATCCTCATCTAATTGAAAGATAATTGTCAAATTTTAAGATAATTATAAGATTCTGTGATAAATTAATTATTTATAAAATTTGATCTGAATTTCCTTACCAAATAAAATGGATTAGGTCAAATTTTATGATAAGGATAAATTATATGATTAATTTAATTGTTTTTAAATTTGATGTAAAAGTTTATTGAAAAGTTTCAAAATTTGCCCTCAAATTTTGGAATTTAAAATTTGATTAAAAATTTTTAATTATGAAATGTTTAAATTCTAAACCCTAGTATTTTAAAAGTTTAAAATACAACCCTTATACTATTATAATATTAAAAGCTTAATTTATATATATGTATAAGATGAGTCGGTCTTACCGTTAGTAGGCCTCATTCACGAAGTCGACCTATATGGGGGGTATAGGGAAACTGCCTATAAAATGGCAGGTGAATGGGTGTACACTCTCACCCACCGCTTTCTTGATTGGTGGAGCGTCGTTAGCCGAACGGGTAGGATATGACATTAATTCTCTCATTAATAAGTATAATGATAATTATAAAGTAACTAAATGTTTTTCATAAATTCCCAATCTTAGTTACTTTAGGAAAAATGTGAAAATGATGTTATTCCATGAAATTGCACTTTGCACCTTGCCAAGTCGTTAATGGAGCGTGTGTGGTTAACCGCCACACTAATTTGGACTAACAAGGGTGACGAAGGGTAGCTTGAGAATTATCATAGATCAATGGAGCGTGTCT